AAAGGGGGGGCTCTTGCCAGAGGAGGACAAGGTATACCCACACCTCTGCCCCCCCGCGCCCGCTTTCCCCTTTTGGGGCCTCCTGGGAGGCCCTCGTCGCTACCCTTGGGTTTGCCTCGAAATGCTTGTCAGAACGCACCCCGGAGGAGGTCCGGGGAGTAGCGGTATCGGTACCGCTTGGCTTCCCGACTGGGGGGGGCTTCTGAGAGGCAGGAATGCTGCACTCGGCCAGGACATGACTCGGGCAGGCCGAACTGGGCCGGCGGGGATCGGCCAGGCCGATTTCGGCCGGCCGATCTCGGCCAGGCCGAAGCTGGGCCGGGCCGAACCCCCAATGGCCCTTTGATCGCCGATAGGGGTTTGATAGCCTCACCCTGCCCAGGAACGTGTGGATTCTCTATATCGGGCGCCTGTCGCCGATTTATCGGCGATGCATCGCCGATTCCAGGCCGATGTTTCCCCCTCCAATTCGGCCACGCGCAGAAGTGGGTGGGGGGGGGAGAAGGTTTCTTGTAAGTACCCTGCTTCTTAGAAGGCGCGGGCCTTGTCTGTAGATGTAAGGCTGGCACCTTCTGAGAAGCAGCCTCCTAAGAAGCCTTCCCCCCTCCCCCTGCTTCGCGCGCCTCCAATACGTGTCAGTGCCTCCAGAGCGTTGCCCATCAACAGTAGGTTTGTTACACCCCCCCGCGGGGAGAAGGAGGCGGAGGAGGAGGCAGAGGAGGAGGAGCAGCAGGAGGAGGATCAGGAGGAGGAGGAGGAGGAGGAGAAGGAGGAGGAGGAGGAGGAGGAAGAGGAGAAGGAGGAGGGGGAAGAAGAGGAGGGGAGAAGGAGGAGGAATTGGAGGAGGAGGGGGAGAAGGAGGAGGAGGAGGGAGGAGGAGGAGGAGGAAGAGGAGTATTTTTTTACACACACACACACACACACACACACACACACACACACACACACACACACACACACACACACACACTCCCCCGTGCGCGCCGCCAGAGGAGCTCGGGAGGCCTCTGGAGGCCCCCCGCGCGCGTGCTCCTGGGCGACCCGGTTCCTCCCGCCACGGCCGGGCACGGTTCGGAGCATGGGGCCCAGGCGGTGCCCACCCTCAAGCAGCGGCGAAGCGTCTTGGCTCGCCTATAGCCTTGCCAAACAATGTTCTAAGAACCTTTTGTGGCTTCCACGAAATGTTATTTGAACATTTCTGGCGGAGTCTGTCTTGTTTTATCATGTCGGGTTTATGTTCTAAGAACATTGCTGTTGTTCTTAGAACATATGGGGAGGTCTAAGAAAATCTCGTGGTAGGACTATAGGAATACCGGGACGGTCGGTCCCTGCTCAAACTTAGCGACGGCGACGACGCGTCGGCGACGTCGGCAATGTATCGGCGATGTCGACGTGAAGCAGATCGGGCCCCACACGTGAGCGTTTTTTATTATTTCTTTTGCCGATCGGCGCAGACCCTCGTAATTCCCCCCCCTCCCCCCCCCATGGAGTGGATCTTGGCCGATTGGGCGCCCGTTTTTCGAGCAGGTGGAGTCTCCCCCAGAGGACGCATTGCTGCAAACAGTCGCACTGAGCAGAGGTCCGGAGCCAGACCCCCCCCCATCCCCCCCCCTTCCGCCCATTGTCGAAACGCCCGATAAAAAAACGCTCACCATCGAGCCGCATCGCCGATGTGTCGGCGATGCGGCGCGATCCCCCGACCCCATCTACTCGGACCCCATCTGGGAGGCCTCTACCCCCCCACTCGGGCGGGTGGTAAGTGAGGGTTGCAAGGTTGTGAGGAGCGCCTCGACGGCGCATCGGCAGAGAAGGTGCCGTGCAGATATGCACTGGCAAAGTGGTAAGTAAGGAGGTCTGGGTCTCCCAGATGGGGTCCGAGTAGATGGGGTCGGTGGATCGCGCCGCATCGCCGATGCATCGCCGATGCGGCTCGATGTGGACCCCGATCTGCTCCACACCGACGTCGCCGATGCGTCGCCGACGTCGGCGATGCATCGCCAGTGCATCGCCGATGCGTCGGCGATGCGGCGCGATCCTCCGACCCCATCTGCTCGGACCCCATCCGGGAGGCCTCTGGTGGTAAGTTAGGGGGGGGGGCCTCAAGGGGGGGTGAAGAGAAGGGCAACTGAGGAGCCCTTCAGGGCCCTGTGCTCACCCCCCATGCAGGTCACCCCCCATCCTTTGTCCTTTCGCTACCCCGATTTTCTTGCACCTTCCGAGCACAAGCGTCGCGACCAACACCTGCTGCACATCGATGGCATCGATGGCTTGACAGCCCTTTGTTTTGCATCAGACTTTATTATCCCTGTGATTTGCCATGCTATGATATAGGGGCCAACCATCCTGAAATACTGTGTAATCCGACAATCTCCTCCTCCTCCTCCTCCTCCTCCTCCTCCTCCTCCTCCTCCTCCTCCTCCTCCTCCTCGCCCGACCTGCCCCCGGTGGTCGCGGCCCCTCGCACGGGCGCGGCAGAGGCCCCACCCCCCTCGGGCTGCGGGGGGCTCCGCCGCTGCTCGCTCGGGCTCGCTGGCCTCCTCGGGCGCTCCGTCGTCGTCGTCGACGTCGACGTCGTCGTCGTCGACGTCGTCGTCGTCGTCGCGTGGGGTCTGCTGGGGGGGCGGGGTCGGGCGTTGCGTCATCGAAGGAAGATGCACTTGTCCCGCGCCTGCGGGGCCCTCGAGGGGCCCCACGGGGCCCAAAAGGTGCACCAGAGGTGCGCGTTTCTTCACTGTCACGTCAATCGCCCCGCCCATGAAGCAACGCCAAAGGGGGGGGGGGTGCGGGCAGCGTGGAGAGGATTGCGAGGATCTGGCCCTGACATCCAGGCGTGGCGGTCGCCCCCAGATGCCCCAGGCTACAAAAGTGGGGCACCCTTTTGTCCAGCTCGGAAGGCAGGAGAGGTTGTAGAGGAGGGTGAGGACACGAATCCCAGGAGGGGAAATAACACACAGACACAATGAATCTTCCACTCTCAGGGAAAGATTGGAAAATATGGGAAGTGGGGGGGGAGACGAAAACCCAGAAAATGGAGAACAGTATTGCGAATCTTGGGATGTGTGCTTATTTTGTGTGTGTCCCTGGGTCCCTTTATACTCGGTTTATCTTCTCTGCGCCTCATGGGCGGCCTTCTCCGCCGACTTGGAAAAAGCCTCTTGGGGCACCCGCGACTGCGTCAGCCCGGTCGCGAGGCGAGTGGTGCAGGATATGGCACCAGAGACCGGGGCATAACAGGGGCACGGCGAACACCGATTTCCACGTTTGACTATGCCCCCGTTTAGGGGGGCCCTGGGCGCCGTAGACGGGGACATAGTAAAGAGGGGCATATGGAGAAGCTGAAGCCCCTGTTTACCAGAGGAGGAAAATGTACCCATACCTCTGCCCTTCCCCCGTTTTCCCCTTTACGGGCCTCCTCGGAGGCCCTCGTCGCCACCGCTGGATTCGCCTCGAAATCCTTGTCAAAACGCGCCCCAGGTGAGGTCCAGGGAGTAGCGGTATCGGTACCTGTCGTTTTCCCCAGTTTAGGTATGCCCCCGTCTAAGGAGCCCCGAGCAGGACGGTTGCTCCATGCCTACTTATGTTTAAATGGTATTTGTATGACATTTATAGATCAGTCGCCTGCAGCAAATCCCGCCACCGTGCCTACGCAACAGCGTAGCAGGACGAAGTTTGACTTCTCAACGCGTCGCGTATCCCCACCAGCCCATCCAGGAACGATGCCCAGGGACGCCGCCCTTCTCGGGGGGAGCGAGGCATTATTTGGAGATCTCGAGGACCCTCCGTGGACCAGAAGTTTTTTGGATGCCTCTCGGGATCTCTCGGGATGTCTCTCGGGGTCTCTTGGGGCGCCTCTTGATCTTGGAGGCCTCTGGACGTCTGGGACCTTCTGAAGAGTCTGGAGTGCCTTGGAGGCCTCTTGGGGGCCTCTTGGTGGCCTCTTGGGGGCCGCTTAGAGGCCTCATGGCGGCTTCTTGTGGGCTTCTTGGGAACTCTTGGGTGCCCCTCAGAAGTCGTGTTTTGAACCCATCGGGGGGCTTTTTTGGGACCATCCTCTTGGGGGGCTCTTTTCTGGTCACGGTTGGCTTATATGTTATCTAGTATGAGAATGTACGAAAGTCTGATGCGGAGAGTCGGGGGGGGGGGGGTCGGACCACGTGTGCGTCGAGGGAGAAGGGGCGGGGTCGGCACTAGAAAACATTTAAAAACCTCGTTGGACAACATAATAATATTCCAAGACGCCAACTCCGTGCAGGCGCGGTCGCGGGTATATCGGCTATACGCACACCGATGTAGTGCCGATCTATGTATACACGCGCACTTTTGGCATCGTGGGCGCGCGCGGGGCGGCGCGGCGTAGGACAGGTTGAGCGAGTTCGCGTATTGGACCGGCTCACGCAGCAGCGAACAGACGCTGGATCCACCCCATACACACGTGCGCGCATCAACGCATGCAATCATCTCTCACCCTCTCTCTCTCTCTCTCTCCCTCTTCCTGTCCCGCTGCTCCACTCCTACCTCCACTCCGTCTCGAGTCACATGACTCCACCTGCCCCTCCCCTCCAGTCCGCTCCCGCCCTGCGCCCTCGCGGCTGTCCCTCGCTTAGAGCGGGCCGACTCGGGAGGTGCCCAGCTCGACGATCGACGCTCGATCCATACACCTGCTCCTGCCCCCCACTCTGGGCGCCAGTGGAAGCAGGGCATGGATAAAAGACGTGGCTCCAGTGGCCAGCCCCTCGTAGGGTTGGGGTGTGAGCAGGGGCATGGGTTTGATGTCGATCGCCTACCCGCCGAGCGCGTGCTCTCCTCGGTCAGGGCGTCAAAGCGCGCTCGCAGATCTGCGCAGCGTCGTCGTCGTCTTCGTCGTCGGCGTTCGTGGCAGCGCTTGGCGGCGCCGGCGTTGGTGGGGTCGGTGACGACAAAGACGACAGTGACGACAACGACGGCGGCGGCGACGGCGGCCGCGGCGGCCGCGGGGGAGGCCGCACGCGCCCGCTCCCCAGAGGGGCGCTGAGGCGTTCGCCCGGCCCGGGCCGAAGCGCCCGCTCGCCGGCGGGGGGTCAGCGGTCTGGCAGGCCTCGGCGTCGCTCTTCATCCAGGGGGGCGCAGGTCGATCAGGGGCAACGACTGGGGGACAGGCTCCCAGGGATGGGTTTTCGACCAGTTTCGTCGGTCCTCGGCGATTTTCCAGCCTCGGGGTGCCTTCCAGCAGCTGCGCCTCGCCGAGGGCTTTCCAGGGGTGCTCGGATCGTCCCGAACGGCCGCAGGGGAGCCGAGGTGTGGTCCGAACACCAGGGGTCCACGGCAGGGGGAGATGAGCTCAGGGGAAGCAGCATCGACCCCCAGGAGCCCGTTCCTCGTCGCTCAGGGCCTGGGGGCCCCTCGCCGATGCATGGCCGATTCCAGGTCAACGCCTCTGCCTCTGAGCTGTAGTCGGGCCTGTCCCTTTGCAGGGGGACTATTCAAAGATAATGAAATAGTCTTGGGACGATAATTTGTTACTATTTTTGAGCATGTTTGGCGCATGTTGGTGGTACTTGTTATTTTTCGTCCAAAATCGGCATGTAGGGGGACAGGGCCGACCTAAGTCTGAGCCCGACCCCCCAAACTTGCGCCGCCCTGGCGATCGTTTCCTTGTTCCTTGTTTTGCCGATCGGCGCGGGCCCTCGCATCCCCCCTCCCCCCCCGTGGATTAGATCTTGGCCGTTTTGGGCGCTTGTCTCGAGCAGGTGGAGTCTCCCCTACAGGACGCACTGTTGCAAACAGTCCGATTAAGCAGAGGTCCTTAGCCAGACCCCCCCCCATCCCCCTCCCCCTCCGCCCAATGTCGGAACGCCGAATGGGAACATGTTTACTTGCAGAGCGAGGATCGAGTAGGGGGGGGGGAAGGCTCCTCGTCGCCACGGCTGGATCTCCCTCCCCCCCTCGCTGGGGGCCCCTGACCCGCAAGGATTCCAGGACGGAGTACTGGCCCCAGGGATGGTGTTGAGTCTGGCATGTCCCTTGAAAGGAGGAATATGCAAAAACAGTCTAAAAATAGTCTGGGGACGATTGTTCTGTTATTTTGTTCCGCTTCCTGGGGAAAACCACGGGACATCTATACACCAGGATCCCGCATACAGTCAACACGCATAGTAGGGATGGGCAATCTTGCCAAGAGTACTTCTGCATCCTCGCCTCCTCGGCCCATCCTTGGCCACTTTTGTGGGCCGCGCCCCTCTCGAAAAGCTTCGAAGGGGGCGTCCAAGGCTCTTGCAACCTTCTCGCGCATCCTCATGTTACGGGCCGACTGTACACCCTGTGCACATTTCAGTGCAGCGCCAGAGAACGCGTCGGGGTGCTCGGAGTTCGGTTCCCTGCTTGGGGACCATTCCAAAAATAACGCGGCATCGGATGTCTGGGCCTGCGCCGTTCCCCCGGAGTTCGGGCGCGAGGGCGGAGCTGCTTTCGCCACCACGGCCGGATTCCCTTCGCGAAACGCTGGTTTGAAATCCAGGCCTCCCGGATGGGGTCGGAGTGGATGGGGTCGGGGGACCGCGCCGCGCCGCCGATGCATCGGCGATGCGGTTCGACGTGGAGCCCGATGTTCTCCATACCGAAGTCGCCGATGCGTCGCCGCCGTCGCCGATGCATCGCCGATACGTCGGCGATGCATTGACGATGCGGCGCGATCCTTCGACACCACCTACTCGGACCCCATCTAGGAAGCCTTCATATGATGTGTGGCGGGATTGGCCGTGCCGAGGTTCAGGCACGAAGCCAGAGGATTTGTTTGGACGTGGAGTTTCCTTGATGGAAGGCAGCCGGTTTTCAAAACGTGGCTCTCGCCTTAGCGTTTAGCGCCGCGCACACTCGACTTAATGTTTGCAACACGGTCAAGGATCGAGGGCGGGTGGTTCTCAGAATGTGGCTATCACCTTGGCGCCGCACGCATTGCTTTTAAAAGGTTGCAACAGCTTCAAGGACGGAGGGCGGTTGGCTTTCAAAATGTTGTTCTCGCTTCAGCGCCGTGCACATTAGTCTACAAGTGTGCAACAGCGTCAAGGGTGGAGGGCGGTTCTTTTCAAATTGTGGCTCTCGCTTTGACGCCGCGCGCATACGTTCTCAAAGCTCGAAACATGTTTAAATTTTCGTGTGGTGAAGTCCCACGATGGGTGGTCTGGCACGATGTAGAGGGCTGTCAGGACGCAACAGTCACGTTGTGTTGAAGTCCCAGGAATAGTTTTCTAGCACAACTGAGGATTGCCAGGACGCAACAGTCATGTTGAGCCGCGGCCAAGGAGGTCCCAGGAATGGCGTTTGGGCACGAATGAGGGTTCTCAGACGGTTGTCTTCCAATGGGGCAGCTCCCGCAACGACAATTAACTCTTGCAGGGACCTATCAGGAGGAAATCTGGAGAGATGATTTCTTGTTACATCGTCGATGAGTATTGGGCTTACACTGGTCCTCTTCCTCCTCCTTCTTGATACTTCTGCGCCTCCTCCATCCTCTTCATTGATCCTTCTCTTTCCGCCTCTTTCTCCTCGATATTCGATTCGCCTTCCTCCTCGATCTCACCCCATCCTCCTTCTCCTCTCCCCAGCCGGGCCTTGTAGCAAGCACCTGCTGAAGACAGGGAAGTCAAACTTGGATGACCTTGCTAAGGGTGAATAGCTTGGTCACTCAGCGAACGCGAAGGAGGTTCACGCAGCCAGAGCTCAGCTGAGCCACTGAACCAACCACCTGCGCGCGCACCTGGGTGAAAAAGAACTCCTTCTCCTCTCCCTCTTCCCCCTCCCCTCTCGTTCCTCGAACCCCCTCTCGAGCCCCCGAAGAAGAGGGCCGCTGACGCCCCTCCCCCTGGCTGTGAGGTTCCTGTGCGCCCTTCGGCGCACTTCGCGGACGGAGTTGTAACAATTGTCCAACAGAGCAGCGCGCGTCGCGCGCGGAGGTGTGAAGATTGTAGAAAGTTTCGCGCGCATCGCATGCAGAGGCGTAAACAGCGCAGTCCGTTGAGCGCGCTTCGCGCGCAGAGGTGCAAATACGGAACCGCTCGGCGCGCCTCGCGCGCGGAGGAGCGACTGACCGTTCAGCGGGCTTCGCGCGCGGGGCTGTGCACATTCTGGGGTGGACAGACCTCCTGCCCTGACACGTCGATTAGTGACTTGTCCGTCTTCGGTTCTCGAGAGGGCGCCGCGGCCGTCATTTTCCAGGCTTGCGCCCGCCAGGTTTGGGCCCGAGGTCGTTTTCACTAAACCACGTTTTACTAAAGAGAGGTCTGTCCATCCCCGACATATGGTAAACGGGCTAGCGTCGTGCGCGGTGTTTCGCGGTTGGCCGTCCTGGCAGGATGCCCCGCCGCGGCTGGGCGGAACGCGCGCGAGCCCGATGTCGGGGCGCGCGCACGCGAGGAGGTCTGCGGGTGCTTCTCGTCCTGGTGCCCCGTTGCGCACCCAATGGAGTGCCGGGGGGTGCTGGCGGCCAAACAATCGGGGGAGCGTAAGACCCGGGTTTGCCAGGACTCGGGTTCGCCATCGTTTTTTGACGACCGCGCCTCGGATTTTGACGAGGAGGAGTTTCGTGGGATGTCTGCAGCGGGAGGCCTCGTCAAAATGCATTCTCGGCCTCGTCATTTTTTTGACGACCTCGTCGGGGATTTCCGAGTCCCCCGTACCCGGGTCTTACGTCTCCCCGAAACAACTGTCGGGGGCCCCCAAACTGTGTGGTGACCACACCGTGCGGTGAGTCGGTGGGGATTCGGGGTCACCGCACGGTTTTGGGACTCGAGTCGTTCTCCGAAGACGTCTCGGGCGACTGGGGCATCCGAGGTCCCAAAACCGTGCGGTGACGGACCGTGCGGTGGGGTCTTCGGGGGTTCCGAGGTCACCGTACGGTTTGTCACCGCACCGTTTCGGGACTCCAGAAATTGTTGTTGTCTTGCTTTGGTGTCCTTCCTTCTCGTCGCCCGGATTTCTAATTTTGCTAGCTTGTCAGTTGCCCCATTGGGACTCTCGGGTTGTCTTCGGCTTGGGCGCCGAAGGTGAGCGGGATTTGAGCAACTCCTTCTTATCCGCAGCCTCGTTCTCCTCGTAATTCTTCCTCGTTTCTCCTCCTCCTCCGCGTCCTCCTCCCCTTCCCTCTCCTCTCTCTGCTTTATTGGAGGTCTATTGGGGGCCCACCTGGGGCCTCATAGGAGCTTCTTGGGAGCGTTCCAAAACGGTTTCAAAACATTGGCGATTTCTAGTGGGGCCCATGGGGAGCCTGTTGGGGGGCATTGGGAGCTTAGGGCCTCTTGGGGGGCGTCTCGGGGGCCTCTGGGGGCCTGATTGGAGCGCGTTGGAGGTCTCGGAGGCAATCCCATTGGGAAATGCGCTCGAGGCCGCTCGAGTTCTCACTCCTGAGCCCTTCTTGTTTTTTTTGTCGGACGCCTTTTTAAGCCATCTTGGTTGCCTCATTGGGCCCGTTGGGGGGCCGTTTGGGTTGTTGTAGGGACCACCTGGGCCATTTGGGGGTCCTCGTGGGGGTCTTTCGGAATGTTGTGGGGGCTGTTTTGGCTCTTCGGTTTCCGAGAGGCCAGAGTGTGCGAGCAGGTTAAATTCTTCAGATACACGGGGGAGATTGCATTTGAAACCGCAGCCGCCCACGACGTCGTTTGAGATTCCCTTTGGAGCTTACCAGGGAGAAATATGTGTTTGAATATGTCGTTTGAGATTTAGTTCAGGCGAGGTTTCGTTTGAGATATCGCTTGAAGTCTAGAGTTCAGCAAAAGCAAGATGTCGTTTGAGCCTCCGTTTGGGACTGAGCAGAGGCAATATTTCGTTTCGAGATTTGGTTCGGGATTTGCAGAGGCAATATTTCGTTTGAGATGTTGCTTGAGGTTTAAGGGGCAAGCTATTGATTGAGATTTCGCACAGGCAAGATTTCGTTGGAGATTTCGTTGGGGATGCAGCAGGGGCGGGAGATTTCATCTGATATTTAGCTTGAGATTCCGTAGCGGCAAGATTTCGTTTGTCATTTGTCTGTTTCTATGCGGGATGCGTGTAGGCGAGATGTCATCGGTGACTCGTC